ATATAAAGTACAATAGAGGTTCCACGGGGGTGAAGAAGAGGGAGGAGTTACTGTTTAATGGGTACAGAATTTATGTTTGGGATGATGGAAGAGGTGTAGACCTGGATAGTGGTGATGGTTGTACAACATTGTGCATGTCCTTGATGCCACTGAATTATACATTTAAAAATGGCTAAAAAGTTAAATTTTATGTTACATATATTTTACCACTAAACAAACAGCAAGTTTGATTGACATCTAGGGAGAATTTGTGAGATTATCTTGGGATAGAAAAAACCTGCAGGTTGATAGGGGGGAAATAGGGTGTCAGTCTGGTGTTCATATTCAACAAGTGGCTACCATCGTTGGTGTTAATGGACTGTTTTGTTTCGTTTTAATTATATCCAGAATTATTATTTCCAGAATAATATATAATATGGTTAAACATTTTTTCTTTTACTTTATAACTTTTAGATTTTATAGAGAAGAATCTAAAATAAGTGAAGGGTTTTTCCTTCTCTTACCTGAAAGTAAACAATAGGGACTCTGACTAAGGTGACAGAACTCTAGAATGACCAGTTCTTCCTCTGTAACATATTATTTTTGGAAACTGTTCTACAACCATTATTCCAACACAGACAGGTTGACTCCCAAGATAGGCAGCCTTGCTTAGCAGACTTTGTTTCCCCAAAGCAGTTGTTTCTATTTCCTACAAAGATACAGTATGGCAAAATGGTTTAAAACTCACACTTTGGAATCAAATATCCTGACTTACTGTCTTGGCTTTGTGAAGAGCTGTGTGGCCTTTTGTAAAATTATTTAATCTCTTCATGCCTCATCTTGAAATTCATCTGTAAAATGTGAGTAATAATCACTTCACGTGTTTGTTGAGAAGATTAAATGAGATAACATATGTAAAGTGCATAGCATAGTACCTGGTACATATTAAATGCTCAATAAATATTAACTGTTGCTTCTGCTATTACTGCTCTTCTGCATAAATAAGCTCAAGGTCCAGACCTGGAGATGGGTGGGGGGTATCCACAAGAAGGCATTTCTTGTTTAACTTTACAAAACTCTTATACAAAGACATACTTCCTTTCTCTCCCAGTCCTGTGGTGGCGTCGTTCTTATGCTGTCTTTATACTTTTTTGCATTTAGACTTCTCTTCCAAATTACAGACCAAGCACCCATTTTAATCTTACCACATTTAAAAAAATTTATTGGCACATTATAACCAGAGTTCACTACGCAATACTTCTTCATTCCCTCACTTTTTAAAAAGTCTATTGAGTCCCAGTCTTTTTCTTTTTACCTCTCCCTTCATTCCCTTCTGGATTATAGATGCTGAGAGCTGAATTATATCCTTTAGCTACGTCACACATTGTCATCATCAGTACATGCAAGGTCCCTCCCTGGTTTTATTTTTACCCTTCATCCCTAAAGTTCATCCTGTATCTTTCCCCCAGAGGCACCCATTCTAATGTGTCTTTGCATGTCTTTAAATATACATGCACTTTTGTAAGTAGGTAATACTGTTTTGTGTGCTGGGTTTCTAATTTATAAGAAGGTATTGTGCTATTAATGTCAACATTACATTTTAAAGCTCTGTTAACTTATATATGATTATTCAGATCTTCTAACTCTTAACCAAATTCTAGTTATCTATTCCCTAAAGGATAGACACCTAAATTACCATCAGTTCCACCCTACCATAAAGCATGCTGCAATTAACATTCTTACATCACCCTTTTTTTTTTCTTACGTTACCCTTTATAGGTAGGATGGTCACATTGGTCCACGATGAGATTTTAAATTGAAGAGGACTATTTTAATTATACTGGGACAGCAGGTATATATCAAGACTCCCATGGGGCGCCTGGGTGGCTCAGATGGTTAAGCGTCTGCCTTCGGCTCAGGTTGTGATCCCGGGGTCCTGGGATTGAGCCCCGCATCGGGCTCCTGGCTCAGCGGGGAGCCTGCTTCTCCCTCTGCCTCTCCCCCTGCTCATTCTCTCTCTCCCTGTATCTCTGTGTCTCAAATGAATAAATATTAAAATAAAATAAAAAAAACTCCCAGACAAACCAGGATATGTGATCTACCCTATTTATGGAAGATTTTTCTGGGACACAGTTGATAATCAGCAGATATATACTGGGATAGCCCTTCTCCTTCTGCGTATTTCCAGCTGACATCTGTTGCAATTGGTTGGTGCATGTGGTGGACTGACTGTTGCATATTTTAAATACCACTCTGGCTAGAAACTCTTCATGACCGGGCTGTCTGGGTCACGAGTAATAGACATACTTAATTTCAATAAGTTTGAGTTCCAAACCAGTCTTGTCCTATTAATAGATGGATGGACTTTTTATCTGTCTTATATTTCACGTTGGTACTGTGTATTTGTTAATCTTTTCTCCGTCAAACTATCCGATTTGGGGTGGTAGTAGGCACCACTGTTGACAACTACACTTGTAGTAATTACTTTGTAGGTCATAAGGAATTTTTCAGATTTTATGTTATTGGACCCTACCAATTACCTTCTGAGGTAGAGAGGGCAGAATTTGTAATCCTTATGTTACAGAAAAGGAAACTAAGAATCAGTGAGGTACACTGACTTATTTTATTCCACATATCTGGTAAGTTAACAGAGTTGAATTTGTGACCAGGTCTTCTGACCTTAATTTGTTTCTGCAAAATCTAAAAGGGACAGGGAAAAGGATAAATTTCTGTTTGTGGTTAAAGCAGGGACTGTCCCGTTTAGCTTTATGTCTTCCTCAGAACATAACACAGTACCTGGCACATAGTAAATGATCAGATTTGAATTGGTAGTGCAACTGCTCAGTGCTTTGGTGACTCCCATTTATTTCAGCAATGCTTCACGTTATAGGTAAGTTCTGTTCTATAAATGTTCTGGCTGAACAGAGACTTCATGGCAGTCTCAGAGTTTTCATGTTAAGTGGTGTAGTTCATTTACAACTAACGTAGCAATCACTTATAAACATGCCTATATGATGTGGTTTCTGGGTGAGAGTAAGCACTTGTATGTTTATAGAAAATTTCAGTAAGATTTCCTCCACTCTCCTTTTTTAGGCACTGTTCTGTAGCTTTCAGTAACCAGTAGCAAAGTCCCTCTTCTTTCTAACTACTGTATTGCATTTAGCGACTTAACACATGCTCCCTGTACCCCAAGTCCCCAGACTCATCTGTAGCATTTGGTGAAGATGTTAGATCGGAAAGATTTTCTCCAAGTAGTTTGTGCTAGTATTGTGAGAGGCTGATTGTCCTCAGCCACCCTGCTCAAACCTATCACAGTTTTGAAGTAATTTCAAAGCCTTTATTAATCAGGCTTCACCTACCTTTCTGTCTTATCTCATCACTACCTACCAACCCCTTTCCACCCACTATGATACAAATTAAGAGTGTTCTAAGAGAAACCATTTAGTAACTTAAATTTTCATACCCTTCTCTTCAAGGAAGTTGAAATAGTCATCTTTCAGAAAGAGCTGTTGCTATCCTGTATCTTAAACCCTTTTCATCTCTAGCTGACATAGTCTGTCCACAAGGTATGCTATCTAAATGATGTTGCCTGGTGCTTCTCTCCCTTTGGCCATGTATTTCCTTAAATCATAGATTGATTTGCTAGTACTTACGTTAATACTGCGAACTTCACACATAAGCTTTCATCCCACTAATGGGGAGAATTTTTAAGGAAGCCCACATATGTCTCCTTAAGTATCTGTTTTCTACCGAAACCAATAGTAAGCTGGTGATTATGCCTATTCCTTCTAATCGTGCCACCGGATTTTTGTTTTTTAATTGTTTTCAAAGTATTTCTTTTCTCTTGGCACTATGGCTATGAATTCTACAGTATCCGACAGAAAGAAAACCCCAGGGAGGTTTTTTTTTTTTTCCTTTTTAATGCATAGATAAAATCGCTTTATAACAATGGTTTTTGTATAGTGAAATTCTTTCCACAACTTAGTGGTTTGTCCACGGAAATGACACTTTACTAGTCTTCTTTCCTTTTAATATTTTATTTTATTTTATTATGGTTAGAACACTTAAATGAGACCTACTCTTAATAGATATTTAAGTGTACTGTAACATTATTGTTATCTGTAGGCACCAAGTTGTACACCAGATCTCCAGAACTTACTCATCTTCATAACTGAAATTTTATACCCATTTAAATTAGTCACTTAGAGAAGCAAAGAATAGAAGGGTGGTCGCCAGGGGTTTGGGCGAGGGGGAGAATGGAGAGTTGTTAATCCATGGGTAGTCAGTTTCCTACAGTGAATAAAATTTGGCAAACTACCCAAATTCACGGTTGTTTGCACTAGAGCTAGAAAAGGAAACAATGAATTTGGTGATTTAGTCCTATTATTGAAGCTTCAGTTACCTTTCTGGTTCCCAGGATTCCTGCCAACGCCTACACTCAAAATAGAAAAATAAATGAAACTCCTAAGACCATTTCTTCCAAAACACCTCCATACACAAACTGTCCTGAACATTGGGAGAAGGGAAGTATGAAGGGGAAGCTTTGGTTAGGAATCTCTTCTCCACTGAATTAAAGATAGTTAATTTGCTAATTAGTTAAAAGCATGGCTTCTCATGAACACAACTCACCCTGTTATATTAATAGCAGGAAAGTCAAGATTTGGGTCCTTTAAATGCCACCAGCAGAATCAAAATTGAATGTGAACAGAAGCACATCTTATAAGAATCACCATTATTCTTTCACTGAGTTCAGTAGAGATCTTTTTATATTCAACAAGCTATGTTGATGACTGCGTTTATGTTTTTAGTCTTGCCTGGTCTAAGTGCCCAACTCTGGGTACTCTTGACCTCTGTTGATGACACTCTTCACTGGCTTTGCCCGAGTCTATTGACCAGTTACATCACAGTTGACTCGTCAGCCTCCCCTCCCCACTAGAACTTTCCTCTTTCTCTCTTCTTCTCCTCTAATCCCTTTCTTCTTCACCACTATCTCCTTTACGACTCCTCCATGATTTTCTCAGGGCTGGGCTTCAACATCGTCGGTGGCACAGATCAGCAGTATGTCTCCAACGACAGTGGCATCTACGTCAGCCGCATCAAAGAGGATGGGGCTGCGGCCCTGGATGGGCGGCTCCAGGAGGGTGATAAGATCCTCTCGGTGAGAACTGGCTTCGGCCTCCTTCGCTGTTCCTTGCTCCCTAGACCCCAGTTCTTACCCTTGGCCCCTTCCTTGGGAAGATTTCTCCCTGCCTTTTTGGGTCTGGAAATACCTGGATTGTAGAATTTGGTGGGAGGGACCTTGATTAGTCACCTTTTCCAACCTGAACATAGAGCAAAGAGGTAATTCCTCATTTGATAGACAAGGCATATTCAGGCCAGAATGTGAAGCTACTTAGCCAAGTTCAAAAGACAGGGAACAGGGAGGGATGAGGGTCTGATGTGGGGGAAAGGGACTTAAAACCCACAATTGTTGTCCTTCAATTATACTTTATCACCTCCCTTTTGTTAATTGAAAGACTAATGTGTGTCTTCCTTTACACCAAAGAGACACAAAAGGAAGGTAGGAATTAAGTGTCCTTTTTAGACTCAGAGCCCTTCTCACTCATCATGAAGATGAAAAATTGGTATGCATTCTCATTTGGCTATCTGTCCACTGGGCTCCCGTTTCACTCTGCTGTTTGTAATAAGACACTATATGGTGAGCTTTAATTTGATTCTTTTCTAGAAGTTCCTCAAGGGCAGGGACTAGATCTTTTTTTAACCTTTTGTATCCTTGCACAATGTTCATTATATATTTAACAAATGAACAAGTTGAGAAATTCAGGCAAGCCCAGAAAGGTTGGCTGATCCAGAATATAAAAATAGTATCATGGCTGGTAATATCCTATTTTTGTCCTTCTCACCAACTATTTTGCCTCTTCAGACCATTAAGCTTCTCTTAGATCCTGTTTTTTAATTTGAGAGATACAGATATCTTTTATCTCAAACAATACTGAGAAGTTTACACGTAGATTATTTCTTATAGCTCCCTGGAGAAAGACATCCTCAAAACATGAAATCAACTTGAGTGGTACATTAAGGAAAATTTAAGAGTGGGTTGTTAAAAGTATAGCATGTAGGTAGAAACTATGCAGTTTAAAGTGATGTATACCACATTCTCTTCAGAACACTGGAACCTGGGTTACATTTTGGAAAGTACAGAGGTTAAGAGGACAGCCATATTATTCAAAAAGGTTTGGTAAAAGGTAGACTGTTGAAAAATAAGAATGGTTAGAAGTTTTTGAGCACCGTATCCTGAGTAGTATGCTGAGAACTTTACATTTATTTAATATTGTGATAAGCCTATGAGGTGAGTACATTTATTATGATTGTTTTGCAGCTAAGGAAGTTGAGTCTTGGTGAGGTCAAGCAGCTTGCCCAAGGTCACACAACTAGTAGGTGGCAGAGGACTAAAACTGGTCTGTCTGAATTTGGAGCCTCTACTCTTAATTAGTATGATGTACTGCCTCCTAAGAGGTAAATGAGGAGCTAGGACTAGGTATCCTAAACAGAGAGTTTCATGGTGAATTAATAGATTTTATGTATGGCTTTATATAAAAACTGAAATCAGTCTTTCTATAAAGGATAGAATTAGGGGGAAAAGGTCATATAGCTTAGTATGAGGGAATTATTAGACATAAGCTAAGACGAGCAGCCTTTCTTAGTGGACCATTGCCTCATAGAGAAAAGAAATTATTGGAAGGCCACTCAAGTTTTTTTTTAAAGGGTATGGTAAGAGATAGGTGTCCATGCAGAGAAAAGTAAATGTCAAAAAAACTCAGCTCACTTCACTTTAAAATTTATAGCAAGGAGGATTTTACTTTTCAAAGTAAAAGAAATACAAGATTTATTACATGAGAAATATTACAAAGATCTATACAAGATATTAAATATTACAAATATATAAGACATAAAGAATGATTCAAGTTTATGTTTTGGCCAATTAAGACATGGGAAAGAAGAGAGGGAGGAAATGCCTGACGAAGAAAAGGCAAAAATATAAGACAGATATGGAGAGAAATAAAGAAGACTGAGAAAGAGAAAATGGAGCATATATACAAGAGGAGAAGGCCAGCATATTCTCTTCATTCTTTCTAGGGCTATCTTATTTGACTCCAGTTTCCCTTCCAAGAGTTTGCTCCAAAATTCTTGTTTCTAGACCCCGTTCCTAAGAAATACTGCCTCTGTTGCCTCTCTCACCATCTTCTCCGCTCTCTCCTTAAGTGAACTTGTTGGGCATTAACCGTTAAATGGTTATGTCTCCTTTGTAGCTCACTCTCTCCCTCTGATGTTCTTAAGTGCTCTGTTACTGGCTTTGGAGTCTGTAAAATGGTGATGCTGAACTATTTATTAGCCTATATTCTCATTGATTCTTTATGGGTTTTTCTACTCTCTTCACATAGGTTACTTTTCCATGTTGTAAAATATGCCCCAACTCTTTCTTTTTAACTTTTGGTAATCAGATTAAGAATATGTCACTTCCTTAGCACATCCAATCTGGATAATTAATACAAGTCTCATTAAGTGATCTAGATTTCCTCTGAGTTATTATTGACTATTAATTTAATCTTTCCATTGCTCTCAAAATAATGCCCATGTTTTGTCTTAATTTCAGGTAAAATGAAATAATTGCATGACTTAAGCAATTTCCTCTTACCAAAAGTTAAGGGTGATCTCTGTGATCTCTGTTTAATGTTTAAACTTAAAAGAATGGGCGGGGGGAGGGAGGAAGAAAAATTTTTTTAACTAATGTAAATTATTTTTAAGGCCCTATTGCATCTGACAACCATGAAACAAAAACAGATATTACCAATAGAATGAACCTGAAGTTGAGATGAGGGCTGGCGATGGAGAGTCCTCACCCAGAGTTTTATTTTGTGTGTGTGATGGTGAGGACGATTTAATACTTGTATAGGTTACCAGGGAACCTGGAGAAATTTTATTTTTGTGGAAAAAAAGTGTAAACTAGGTTTGTCATTTCCCTTGTGTGTCTGCCTAAATGAAGGCAGCTGGATAGGCAAGAGTAGTCCGTCCTCAGTGAGGTCTACATTTTTATGAAGCTCAGGGTGGTGTGAGCTGATTACTACACTGAATAGATGAATATTCTCTTTTTTTTTTAAGATTTTATTTATTTATTTGACAGAGAGAGGGAACACAATCAGGGGGAGTGGGAGAGGGAGAAGCAGGCTTCCCGCTGAGCAGGGAGCCCGATGCGGGGCTCGATCCCAGGACTCTGAGATCATGACCTGAGCCGAAGGCAGACGCTTAACGACTGAGCCACCCAGGCACCCCATGAATATTCCCTTTTTTAAAAATTTTTATTGTTATGTTAATCACCATACATTACATCATTCGTTTTAGATGTAGTGTTCCATGATTCATTGTTTGTGCATAACATACCCAGTGCTCCATGCAGAACGTGCCCTCTTTAATACCCATCACCAGGCTAACCCATCCTCCCACCCCCCTGAATATTCCCTTTTGACCACACCCCTTATATAACAAAATGGCACCAATCAGGCCACTAGTCAGCTGTGTTTCATGTTCTTGTTGAATAGAATTCTTAACTTGGTGAATGAAAGAGCTGAGTAGTCCTCAACATTTACAACTACTGTGCCTGACAGCCTGTAGAGCACCATGCCAGGTGCTATGGACGGATTGGAAAAATGAAAGACTTGTCTGTGCCCATAGCTTAGAAATCAATGGGGAAGACCCACCAGAAACCCTCATCCAAACCCAAAACATAGGCTGCCAGGACATTGAAATATGCAGAATCCTTTAGACAAAGGATGCCTCGAGGCACTTTGTCCTCCTACCTCAGTATCCTCAGCAGGTAGGCTTGTAGCTGACATGGAGTAAGCATGCAGTAAGTTAGCTGCTCTCTGAATGCATCATACCATAAAGGACTTTTTTGGTTTGGTCTGATTAATTAGAACTAGATAATCTGTTTTTTTTTTTCCTTCTTCAACTCTGAAAAAAAAAAACCGCCCCCCCCCCCACCTGTGATTCATTTCAGGATCTTGGCAAAAAAAAAAAATTAAAATATCCAGAGTATAATCTGTGGTCAGTGCTTATTAAACTGAGTCCATTCCTTCTCTACATTGTCTACATTTATATTGATATTATTTTATAGTTAGAGTTCTTGAGGCAATTCAAAACTATTAATCATCAAAGATAACTAATTTGGGGGTATCTGGGTGGCTCTGTCAGTTAAGCGTCCGACTCTTGATTTTGGCTCGGGTCCTGATCTCAGAGTTGTGAGATCAAGCCCTGCATCGGGCTCCATGCTGGGCATGGAGCCTGCTTGAGATTTCTCCGTTGGCCTCTACGTCTCTCTGTCTCTGTTTCTCTGCCTCTCTAAAATAAATAAATAGGGGCACCTGGGTGGCTCAGTTGTTAAGCATCTGCCTTCGGCTCAGGTCATGGTCC